GAGAGAGAGAGATTAAAAATAATTTAAATAAGTAAAAGTTCTTCTGAAATAAGTGTATACAGTATAATATATTTTAATAATCACGCTAAAACAAGATGATAATTATCTAGTATCTATACAAAGCTCACGAATACCTTCTCATAAACTGGTCCCAGCCGATCGGGAAAAGAGGAGAAGTCCTTGATCAGCACTTGTTTGATGTATTCAGGATCCCTCAATAGGAGCGCAGGGGATCCTCTCAAAAATATTCCCACCACAGCATCGTTCGGATATCGATCGTAAATTTCTTTGAAGAAACCACCCAGAGAATTATTGCCGAGCATAAAATTGGCGATGTTGCCGAAGAACGGAATGGGTTTTGGTCCATTAACCCCGCGCGATGTCCAGTAGGCGAAGTCGGAGGTTAAATAATGATAAAGTAAATACAAGATCACCACACCGGCACAGAGAATTTCGAACATGCTCACAACCATTGTAGCTAAACCGGTCGCTCGTACGATTATAATACCTATTTCTCACGGCAGACTCACAATCGTTTTAATGACGTTTATAAGAGATATGTCACAACGCTGCGTGATGCTCACTTAACATTTTGCGCAAATGGTTAACGTGAGACTTTTTATTTGTTACATGACCCAAGAGAGACTGACTCGGGACGTGTATATGGATAGATTCTATAATCATGCTCACATGAGTCACATTGAAGGAAACACACAGTCAGTTTACTTTCAAACGTTTCCAAATATTATTATCTACTGATAACATCATTTTATCAGTAGATAATACTGATAATATTATCTACTGATAAAATGACAAGTTCAACTTGTATTAAACCAGGGATGAACAAGGGCATCGCTCGCGGGCGCCCAGATGCTCGTAGGCAATAGCTGAGCATGGTGGGGGTTGTGGGGCGATTGTGGGGAGAAAATATCGGACAATAGTGAGAACAAAGTATCGAGAAGTGAGAAAGAGCATAGATCGTCACGCTTGAGTGTAGGTATGGTAGGACGTTGATTGGAGCGGGGGTATGCCCAGCAGCTGGGATACGCACAAGGGTACGACCATGCCAGATATCAGCATTTTGCCTATCCCTGTATTAAACTTGTTTATGTGCAATGATAAGATAACACTTTCATGTCAGCCATACGCTTAGTCATCATTGCGCATAAAGTTATATTTTCAGTGATATCACTGTCTTCTTCTGTTATAAATCATTGTCAATCCAACATACAGACACAAAAAGATAGTATTTCATTTTGTACACTACAATAAATGCAGATGGGAACATTGTAGTAAAAGTGGTTCAGAAACCGCTTATAATACTGTTAACATACTTTACATTGTTTAATTTACTTAAAAGTGTATACATACATTGTATATCTGACACAATATATAGAAATTGCCTGACATAATCACCTTGTTAAGAGAGCTTGGTCAATTTTACATATATGCCGTGTGTAGATTGCAACAACAAAGTGCTCAATGGAGTATACACAAGTGGAATCTGAGTTTTCTCGCAAACCTCTATTTTATAATTCATTAGCACTTTGATTAAACCAACCATCGTTTGATTAACGGCGAATCTGGCTCCTAAAAAAAAAGCGCGCGTATCTCTTCGATATTTCTCAAGTCAAGTGTGTGCTTACGTATGTATGCGTACGTACACATATGTATGAAAGAAATATTATATACAAGAAAAAAAAGCGAAAAAGATTGCGTGAATGATACGTAAATCCATAAGTTTTTCAAGTTACCGATACAGTTTCTCGGACCATCTCCGAATGGCAAGTGATACATGGGGTTTCTCTGTTTTACATTTTCCACGTTAAATCGTTCAGGATCAAAGACTTCCGGATCTGGATAAATATTCGGATCGTTCTGAAGAGCGTAAACGGGTATAATCACTTCTTGCTTCTTTCGTAGTGTGATTTTAGTTCCCTCAAATGTGTAATCTTTTATAGCTTTCCTCGTAAGAAACATTACTATTGGATATTTCCTAAGAGTCTCTGTAACACAAACATTTGACAGAGAAGATATTTTCGAACTGTGGAACTTCTCAAAGGTTAACAAATATTTACAATCGTTATGATCCCTGACTGCCAGGAGATCTTATCGAAAAAATGTTTTTCAGTTCACAAATGTCTACAGATAAACTTGACTCATTAAGTAAATGATTAAAAGAATTATTTTGTGACGGATGTACGTACCTCGAAAGATCATATTCAAATAGGTCATCATTTTGATGCTTTCATATAATATTTCTCCGCCAGTGCTGTCAAGAACTTCTTTAATCTCGTTTCGAACTTTGTCTTGGATCGATTGATTCTGCGCTAACTCGTACAGTGCGAAGGACATCGTAGAGGAAGAAGTCTCGAAACCGGCCGCGAAAAATACGAATGCTTGGGCAGCGATGAATTCATCCGTTACATCTAGAAAAATAATTATTTCATGTTAATCTCTGTAATGATTCTTAATTCTCTTGTTAGTAACGCTTTGTCAACGAATATCGAATTATCTCTCTCTCTCTCTCTCTCTCTCTCTCTAAAAGAGAGAAAATTTGTCCTAAAAAATTAGTGATAAGGACGTATTAAACGCATGCGACAGTTGATAAATTATGTAAAATGGAAAAGTAATGTTCTTACTGTTAACGCCCAGTTTGTCAGGATTATCCTTAAGCTCGATAAGTGTATCGATGAAATCGTGCCGACGCACATTGTTCCGCTTCCTATACTCTATAGTGTCTCGAGTAATGTCCGTCATGAATTTGGTTACATCACGATCACTTAAGATATGTCCGAAGCGCTTGTAGAGCGACGGCACTTCTCGGAGCATGGTCCTGAACACGATCAGTGGAGAGGCGCGGAAGATTTTACGACCTAATTGATAAAACTTATTATCCTCTTCTTTCAACGCATTCATTTCGAGGCCGAAAGCGCACGATCCGATCACGTCGATGGTGAATTTGGCCGTCAGATCCCGGCATTCGACGATACTGTCCTTAGATACTACGTTGTCCAGGTACTTCTCGAAGTGGTCGGAACAGTTCAGCAACAAGTGAAACATATCCTTCAACTTCCCGGACGTGAAGGTGGGCGAGAGCCTCGTTCTTAATGGTCGCCATCTAACAGCGTCGAGCCTGAAGAGGTGCATGGACATGGGATCGGCCTATAAATTATGCATCAGTGTATCAGAAAACGGGAATTATGTTAGAAAATTTTCCCTCAAAGTTTCCGTGTGATCAACGCCCACTCCGAAACTTATACGTCAGTTCAACTTGATACTGGAGAAAGAGAGAGAAAGAGAGGTACTCTTTCCAACTCTTATTTTTATAAATTATTTATTGTAATTCATACATTTAGAAATAGAGAAAGAGAGAGAGAAATTAAAAATAATTGCTTTAAATAATTATTGAAATTATTTTCGCGTCATTACATTTTATATCACGTTTTATTTTATTTTTATCATAATTCGTCGCTCCTCTGTTTAATGTTTTTGCATTTAATAGTTTAAATAAGTAAAAGTTCTTCTGAAATAAGCACGGATACTTCATGTATAATATATTTTAATAATCACGCTAAAACAAATTGATAATTATCTAGTATCTATACAAAGCTTAAGAATACCTTCTCATAAACTGTTCCCTGCCGATTGGCAAAGGAGGTGAAGTCCTTGATCAGTACTTGTTTGATGTAGTCAGGATCCCTCAATAGGAGCACAGGGGATCCTCTCAAAAATATTCCCACCACAGCATCGTTCGGATATCGATCGTAAATTTCTTTGTAGAAACCACCCAGAGAATTATTGCCGAGCATAAAATTGGCGATGTTGCCGAAGAACGGAATGGGTTTTGGTCCATTAACCCCGCGCGATGTCCAGTAGGCGAAGTCGGAGGTTAAATAATGATAAAGTAAATACAAGATCACCACACAGGCACAGAGAATTTCGAACATGCTCACAACCATTGTAGTTAAACCGGTCGCTCGTACGATTATAATACCTATTTCTCACGGCAGACTCACAATCGTTTTAATGACGTTTATGAGAGTCGCAACGCTGCGTGATGCTCACTTAACGTTTTGCGCAAATTTAACGTGAGACTTCTTATTTGTTACATGACCCAAGAGAGACTGACTCGGGACGTGTACATATATGGATAGATTCTATAATCATGCTCATGAGTTACATTGAAGGAAACACACAGTCAGATCACTTTCAAACGTTTCCAAATATTATTATCTACTGATAAAAGAACGAGTTCAACTTGTATTAAACCAGGGATGTGCAAGTGGGCACCGCTCGCGGGCGCCCAGATGCCCGCAGGCAATAGCTGAGCATGGTGGGGGTTGTGGGGCGATTGTGGGGAGAAAATATCGGACAATAGTGAGAACAAAGTATCGAGAAGTGAGAAAGAGCATAGATCGTCACGCTTGAGTGTAGGTATGGTAGGACGTTGATTGGAGCGGTGGTATGCCCAGCAGCTGGGATACGCACAAGGGTACGACCATGCCAGATATCAGCATTTTGCCTATCCCTGTATTAAACTTGTTTAAGTGCAATGATAAGATAACACTTTTATGTCAGCCATACGCTTAGTCATCATTGCGCATAAAGTTATATTTTCAGTGATATCACTGTCTTCTTCTGTTATAAATCATTGTCAATCCAACATACAGACACAAAAGATAGTATTTCATTTTGTACACTACAATAAATGCAGATGGGAACATTGTAGTAAAAGTGGTTCAGAAACCGCTTGTAATTCTGTTAACATATTTTGCATTGTTTAATTTACTTAAAAGTGTATACATACATTGTATATCTGACACAATATATAGAAATTGCCTGACGTAATCACCTTGTTAAGAGAGCTTGGTCAATTTTACATATATGCCGTGTGTAGATTGCAACAACAAAGTGCTCATTGGAGTATACACAAGTGGAATCTGAGTTTTCTCGCAAACCTCTATTTTATAATTCATTAGCACTTTGATTAAACCAAGCATCGTTTGATTAATGGCGAATCTGGCTCCTAAAAAAAAAGCGCGCGTGTCTCTTCGATATTTCTCAAGTCAAGTGTGTGCTTACATATGTATGCGTACGCACACATATGTATGAAAGGAATATTATGTATGTACAAGAAAAAAAAAGCGAAAAAGATTGCGTGAATGATACGTAAATCCATAAGTTTTTCAAGTTACCGATACAGTTTCTCGGACCATCTCCGAATGGCAAGTGATACATGGGGTTTCTCTGTTTTACATTTTCCGCGCTAAATCGTTCAGGATCAAAGACTTCCGGATCTGGATAAATGTTCGGATCGTTCTGAATAGCGTAAACTGGTATAATCACTTCTTGCTTCTTTCGTAGTGTGATTTTAGTTCCCTCAAACGTGTAATCTTTTATAGCTTTCCTCGTGAGAAACATTACTATTGGATATTTCCTAAGAGTCTCTGTAACACAAACATTTGGCAGAGAAGATATTTTCGAACTGTGGAACTTCTCAAAGGTTAACAAATATTTACAATCGTTATGATCCCTGACTGCCAGGAGATCTTATCGAAAAAATGTTTTTCAGTTCACAAATGTCTACAGATAAACTTGACTCATTAAGTAAATGATTAAAAGAATTATTTTGTGACGGATGTACGTACCTCGAAAGATCATATTCAAATAGGTCATCATTTTGATGCTTTCGTATAATATTTCTCCGCCAGTGCTGTCAAGAACTTCTTTAATCTCGTTTCGAACTTTGTCTTGGATCGATTGATTCTGCGCTAACTCGTACAGTGCGAAGGACATCGTAGAGGAAGAAGTCTCGAAACCGGCCGCGAAAAATACGAACGCTTGGGCAGCGATGAATTCATCCGTTACATCTAGAAAAATAATTATTTCATGTTAATCTCTGTAATGATTCTTAATTCTCTTAGTAACGCTTTGTCAACGAATATCGAATTATCTCTCTCTCTCTCTCTCTCTCTCTCTCTCTCTCTCTCTCTCTCTCTCTCTCTCTCTCTCTCTCTCTCTCTCTCTCTCTCTCTAAAAGAGAGAAAATTTGTCCTAAAAAATTAGTGATAAGGACGTATTAAACGCATACGACAGTTGATAAATTATGTAAAATGGAAAAGTAATGTTCTTACTATTAACGCCCAGTTTGTCAGGATTATCCTTAAGCTCGATAAGTGTATCGATGAAATCGTGCCGACGCACATTGTTCCGCTTCCTATACTCTATAGTGTCTCGAGTAATGTCCGTTATGAATTTGGTTACATCAAGATCACTTAAGATATGTCCGAAGCGCTTGTAGAGCCACGGCACTTCTCGAAGCATGGTCCTGAGCATGACTTTTGGAGTGGAGCGGAAGATTTTACGGCCTATTTGATAAAACTGATTATCCTCTTCTTTCAGCGTATTCATTTCGAGGCCGAAAGCGCAAGATCCGATCACGTCGATGGTGAATTTGGACGTCAGATTCCGGCATTCGACGATACTGTTCTTAGATACTATGTTGTTCAGATACTTCTCGAAGTGGTCAGAACAGTTCAGCAACAAGTGAAACATATCCTTCAACTTCCCGGACGTGAAGGTGGGCGAGAGCCTCGTTCTTAATGGTCGCCATCTAACAGCGTCGAGCCTGAAGAGGTGCATGGACATGGGGTCGGCCTATAAATTATGCATCAGTGTATCAGAAAACGGGAATTATGTTAGAAAGTTTTCCCTTAAAGTTTCCGTGTGATCAACGCCCACCCCGAAACTTATACGTCAGTTCAACTTGATACTGGAGAAAGAGAGAGAAAGAGAGGTACTCTTTCCAACTCTTATTTTTCTAAATTATTTATTGTAATTCATATATTTAGAAATAGAGAAAGAGAGAGAGAGAAATTAAAAATAATTGCTTTAAATAATTATTGAAATTATTTTCGCGTCATTACATTTTATATCACGTTTTATTTTATTTTTATCATAATTCGTCGCTCCTCTGTTTAATGTTTTTGCATTTAATAGTTTAAATAAGTAAAAGTTCTTCTGAAATAAGCACGGATACTTCATGTATAATATATTTTAATAATCACGCTAAAACAAATTGATAATTATCTAGTATCTATACAAAGCTTAAGAATACCTTCTCATAAACACTATCTCTTGTTCCCTGCCGATTGGCAAAGGAGGTGAAGTCCTTGATCAGTACTTGTTTGATGTAGTCAGGATCCCTCAATAGGAGCGCAGGGGATCCTCTCAAAAATATTCCCACCACAGCATCGTTCGGATATCGATCGTAAATTTCTTTGTAGAAACCACCCATAGAATTATTGCCCAGCATAAAATTGGCGATGTTGCCGAAGAACGGAATGGGTTTTGGTCCATTAACCCCGCGCGATGTCCAGTAGGCGAAGTCGGAGGTTAAATAATGATAAAGTAAATACAAGATCACCACACAGGCACAGAGAACTTCGAACATGCTCACAACCATTGTAGCTAAACCGGTCGCTCGTACGATTATAATACCTATTTCTCACGGCAGACTCACAATCGTTTTAATGACGTTTATGAGAGATATGTCGCAACGCTGCGTGATGCTCACTTAACGTTTTGCGCAAATTTAACGTGAGACTTCTTATTTGTTACATGACCCAAGAGAGACTGACTCGGGACGTGTATATGGATAGATTCTATAATCATGCTCATGAGTTACATTGAAGGAAACACACAGTTAGATCACTTTCAAACGTTTCCAAATATTATTATCTACTGATAAAAAAACGAGTTCAACTTGTATTAAACCAGGGATGAGCAAGTAGGCACCGCTCGCGGGCGCCCAGATGCCCGCAGGCAATAGCTGAGCATGGTGGGGGTTGTGGGGCGATTGTGGGGAGAAAATATCGGACAATAGTGAGAACAAAGTATCGAGAAGAGAAAGAGCATAGATCGTCACGCTTGAGTATAGGTATGGTGAGACGTTGATTGGAGCGGGGGTAGGCCCAGCAGCTGGGATACGCACGAGGGTCCCCGCCCATGCCAGATATCAGCATGTTGCCCATCCCTGTGTTAAACTCGTTTAAGTGTAATGATAAGATAACACTTTCATGCCAGCCATAATGTTGCGCACAAAGTTCTATTTCAAGTGATATCACTATCTTCTTCTGTTATAAATCAATGACAATCAATTATATAGACACGAAAAGATAGTATTTCATTTTGTACACTGTACAATAAATGCAGATGGGAACATTGTAGTAAAAGCGGTTCAGAAACCGCTTGTAATTCTGTTAACATATCGACTGATTTCATTCGCAAACTTGTATCTCGATTTTACGCAATTTTCGGGTTTTCTGCTTAAACACTCACTTAGGATCAGAATGAGCGTTTAAGTAGGATAACTGGAAATTGCGTAAAATTGAGATACAACCTTGCGAAAAGGGTGAGTCGATACGGACTAATGCACGCTGATAATAACATACTCGCACGCACGTTTAATGTTTCCAAAAGATTTTATATTAACACAACGCTATAAATGTTGTATATAATTCGTGGTATCATATATTATATTTAAATATTTGATTTAAATTCATATACCTTTATGTGAATGCAACTAACAGCTACCTACCATTTCTATACTTTATTTTCTTGTTCCCGCATATGGCATTATGAATTATGAAATAAAATGTTGCGCGGTAGATACTTTCATATCTGTAGATACACATTAATTAGAAGATTTTCAATTGTATAGGTATTTTCATGTATTTATGACATATAATTATATATTGAACTTTTTTTTAAACGTAGAATATCATCTTTTATGACGTCATTACGACGCCTTTCAATCGTTTGTTTTCAAAATATTTTTTATTTCATAACTGTTTTGTTGTAATAATTGTAACATATGCATAAGAAAACATTTCTTTTTGATAGAAAATTTGAAAGGGTGGGCCTGTAATATTTTATTTTGTCTGTATTCCACTTTAATATTTTATTCTCATGTATACGCGTGATATTTCACATTTATCTAACCCAGATTGGTAGAAACAAACAACCATCTCCATTGATAATAAGTATGATTAATTACTTCCGACGAACGTAACCGTGGATGTTCTTGTTGCCGTTGTTGCGTTACCATCGCGAAATACTTAATTAAACGTCGATTCTAGAATCCCAATCTCAGGTAGGAAATATGGAAATGCAATGAGTTGCACGTGCTGGTAGATACGAAAGATAAACAAACTCAAACTTTGTAAGCGTATAAATGTACGAAGTCATTTTTAAACTCTCGTAAATCTTACCGTTGCAATTCCTCACTAATACCGCGTATTTATATATGTATCTCGTGCCATCCCTGTCGCGGTACAGAAAATCTTGTCGCAATCTAAATAAGAACAAGCTGCGCAACTAACGATTACATCTTCCACGTGTGCACACGATACGTCTCTCTAAAATTCTATACGATGCAAAATTATAACACAGAATTACACGGGGCATTTGCATAAGAATAATATCTCCTTGGAAAACCTGGTCACATAAATAAAAACAGAACGTTACACGCGTTCGAAATTTTCTCCTTCGTTCTTCTCTCCCGTATTGTTCTTGCAATAAATCTATTTGAGATATTTCAAATGGCAAAGTTACGCATTTGCAATTTGTTTTAGGCCGGTATTTATGGTGGGATCTTATGTTCAAGACCGTCTTGAATTTATCTAAAGGTGCTGTACGGAACATGTCATTGGCTACGGAGTATCTAAAAATGATCTTGAGACAGTTTTGAATATAAGATCTGACTATGAATACTGGCCGTAATGTTAAGGACTTTTCAACGATTCGACTAGAAACGAGACGGATCGCTGCAAACAACTACAAGCGATTCTGAAGAGGATCGCGCAAGCGGATTTGAGATGTCTCAATGTGCAAGTCATTTTTTAATTTCTGTAATTTGTAATCTATTGAACTACAAACGAAATTGTAACCTTTTCCGTATCGAGAAGTTAATTATACTTTTTACCTATTTTTAAAGTTAATTTTTCAAAACGCGAGTGCCAGGTTCACATAAGTGAAAAGATACTCTAATTAAGACACTTATATTCTGTTTCTCAATAATTTCAGTTTGTGACAAGTGTCTGTTTTTAATAAAAAATTGAATCGTATAAATTTTCGTAAAAATTCCCTTATTGCATAATAGCCTCTCATTACACGTGCGTGATGTAATCATCAGTTGTCACCTTTCATTAGTTGTTTTTAGACGAATTCTGATATACTCTTTTATATCTCGCAGGTTTTCAGTTGCATGTTTCACGTAATCGTGGCTTATCTTTGATCGTCAAAGAATGATACCAAAATACTATTTTAGAGCACGAGACATTCTGTTGCTGTTAATTGAATAATCGTATCTGTTACGACACGTGCGATACCGAAATTACAAGCTGAGACTATATAACTTGAACGAAAAAATTCCTCATCCTGAAGAAAAAAAAAGAGACAAACGGTGGAAGGGAAAGAAGGAATCGTCGATCCGTTGCATAGATGCGCCCGCTCTCGTCGGCGATTCGTTGGGCGGCGTTTTACGAGTTTATTTCAATTCTATGCGGTGGACACACAGTTAAACGGATTTCGACAATTCATTTACCGTTTGATCTACCCGCGCATTTCAATTATATGTTTACTCTTTGTCGGCGGCATTCGCCTTCCTATTGAGCCCGCGCGTGCACATCCGCGCGTCGGCGGTCGCACCGACGAGCCGAGTAAAGTCGTGGGTACGGATGCGGTGCGGTACAATTGAATTAATCTCGATCGAACAACGCGACCTCCGAAATGAAACAGGAAATCACGTTATCGCACGTGACGGCGTGCACAAGCATGCGCCGCGAAACAAGCGGCTCTCATTAGTTGTTATTGTTCGATCGTGATTAGCAACAAAACCGCGTTGTTGCTGAATATGGTACGTTATCGCAATTATGTGCCTAGGAGATTGTGGCAGCCATTCGGATCGAGAGCGCGAAAGCGAACGGGATCTTTCGAAAGAGCCGTAATAATCGAAGTACGCGCTATTTTATTTCGTCACCCCGTCTAATACAAAGTACAGACACTGTCCGAGACTCAAAAGTGTCAAACGTTCGATAGCAAGAAGTTGCTCTCGAGGTACAAGCATCTCTTTTAACACATCCGCTGATACTGGGAGGAAAACATCACGCCGAGTCGTCCATGGTGAGGTGGAGAGCCAGGTTGCGCCTTCTTTCGAGATTCATCCGGTCGGAGATTTGAATCAGGTTTGCCTGCTCGAAACGGAGAGCCCGTTTTAATTCCTGCAGCTTCCACCCCGCCTCAATCTGCTTCTCGGCTATTTGCTTCTGCAAGGCGGCGATCCGCCGGTTTAAAGCATCGTAATCCGCCCGCAGCCGATCGCCACCGTGGCCCCGATTAATTGCTGATCGATCGCAGACCGCAGGGCCGCTATCTTGTTGCACCATATTTGAAGTCAACAGACAGATCTTATCATGCAGCTCGGCCAGTTGAGTCAATGTTAAAGACTGATAAGTGACAGATACAAGTAGTTACATTTAACCAAGCGTATTATTTCCGGTGAAAAAGTTATTCCGATAATATGTCCGTGTATCCATATCGATATACTGAATGCAATATAAATAGGTAGATGTAAATATTAGATTGTCCCAACAAGATACGCGAATAAGTCATTGCTCTGATTTCTGTAAAGAAACGGACTAGAGGGAATATATAAGCTGTACAGAAGTAAAACTTTCATCTAGTAACCATTTTCGTTATTTGTGTCTTGTGATTAGTTCAGTGACAATTTTATCAGTTTTTGTACTCTACTTGGTATGCGGATGTTAGTGACGAATATCTCAAGAAGATATTTAAGTATATATACTGTATGAAGATGAAACGTTTCGGCTTTACTTCCATTTATTTGTTACAAGTACTGCGACACGGAGAAAAGTCGACATGAGATTTAATGGATATAAAGAAGCAAACGCGGAGCAGCAAAATGAACTCTTATCACCGCACGTACATACCTTCAACCAAGATTCAGGGTCAAAAGCTGCAAGCTCATCGCCATTATCCGCACCTGCAACCTTGGTAACTTCCACACCAAGCTCCTAGAAACGATTCATTTCCGGCGTTAATACGCAAGCCGGAAAATTCAAATTATCCTCTAGATAAATCATCAAATAGGACGCGTACTAACGTTATCTGCTATTAGCCTCACCGATAATTGCTTCATGTAATTCTCATTGTCTCTTCTGCATTCGTTAAGCAGCTCCAGCAGCCTATCGATATCCTGCACTTCGATCTCCGTCAAATAGATATTCTCGGACAGCTTTTGCGATTCTCTTAATAGCTCGACGATGGACGGCACGGTCCAGCGCTCGATCTCAAAATCGTCGTCCAACGTCGTCGCCATCGCGGGTCTCGAAGGAATTTTGCCGTCCGCAAATTGTATGTAATGACGCACGCGTTGCACGGCTATTGTGTTGCGAGAACAAATGTAGGGCCAACTTGCAGAAATTATGTAATCGGAGTTTGTTCGTGTTATTTTCTATGTATCCCGAAACTCGTCTAGACATTGTTAGCCCCGTGCGCAAACTGACACGCGACTTTTGTTGACATCGCATAATTTGCAAAACGCTGCCTTCGGGTGCCGCAAGTTTATGGAAATGCTTAACTTATTAAGATATTAGCCGGACTAATTACGGACCATGAATAAGGAAATTCGCGTTTCTACGGCGCGATAAAAACTGTCGGAGTGACAAAACAGTTGAAAAAGTTTTTATGCAAGTTTTTACCGTCATATTGCTTTTCAATTTGCTTCTTCAGTAATTCATTCGCCTTAACGAAGTCGCCGCATTCATCCGGTTTAATCACGCCAGCCTCTGGAATTACAAAGATGTCTCTCCTTTAATGCGAATGCGGCTAAATTCAATGGCGAGAAAAAGATTCGCCAAAAAACCAGCGAATGAATGGAACGCATTACACGACTAAATTATACCCACGGATTTGAACAGCCGCGCTAATATTTTTCAATAATGTATCGAAAGGGCCGGTACAAACCTACGGAAGGGAGAGATCTCAGTAATTTCATTTTTTCGCTTTGCAAATTGTTAACTTCGTCGTTCAAACGCTCTTTCTCCGTTTGACAATGATCCAATCCGGATTTCAGCTTCGTGTTTTCAATTTTCAGCGTATTATTTTCAACAAGCAGTTTTCGGATTTGGTCCTTCGTCCCATTGACTTCTCCATCGGCTTGTTCAGGATAATCTTTTATTTCGCCCTGCTGCGCTCTCAGTTGACCTAGTTCTAATTCGAGACCGTCATTGATCATTTTTAATATATTATTCTCTTCCGCCGCGTGCTTTAAATCTCCTCTCGCCTTGTCTATCTCGATCATCAATTTCTTCAATTCATTTTCGAAGCTGTCGATATCGTCCACATCCTCTATAAAATCGCCTTTCGATTTCACGATATTCTCTTTTAATTTATTGATCTCTTTCTGCGCCCTTCTTAGCTCGTCCCGCAATTCCTCGTTTTCTGCCGTTAACTTTTCTAAATCCTGCCGCTCTTTATCACGATCTATCTTTGCTCTCGCCAAACCGTCCATTCTCAATTGGCCGTTTTCAGTTTCGGCTGCTGCGAACTCTCTCTGTATCGTTAACGCACGACTTTCCGAAGCGGCCAATTCGACCGTTAGTCGTTCGTTATCCGCTCTACATTTATTCAAATCGTCTCGTAATTGGGCCAAGGCATCTTTCAAGGCGTCCAATTCCTTTAAGGCGGCGCTCTTGCCCGTTTCCTCTGCGTTCAGAGCGTTAATTAAGTCATCAAGCTGCGCACGTGCGTCATCAGCGTGAGCCTTTGAAATCGCAGCCTGAGCTCTCACGTCGCTCCCCTCTTTTTCAAGTCTCTCTTTTTCATTCGACAAGTCAACAAGCTGTCCGTCCAGAAATTTAATCTTCGTTTCGACATCGCCGGCTACCTTCTTCAATTCATCGATCTCCGCTTTTAACTCGCTATTCTGATTCTCAGACTTATCGAGGTCATTCCTCGCTATTGTCAAATCCAACTTGATGGAATCGAGTTCTGTTGCTAATTTCATATTTTCGGCTTTCAGTGCGGCATTCTCGTTTTCCGACGCGGCGTACCGTTTATTCACGTCATTCAATTCATGCCTCAAACTCTCATTTTCCACACGCGTCTTATCCAGGTCCGCCTTCAGCTCCATTAATTCACCGCTTAGAACGATCGCCTTTTTCTCAGCAGCTTCCCTCGCGGCTTTATCCGACACAACTTCTTTACCTAATCCACTCACTTCCGCTCGTAAACCGTCTAACTCGCTCAGAAGTGCCTCTTTCTCCTCCTGCCACGCAGCCACGTGATATTGCAATGCGTTCACCTTGTTTTGCGCGTCGATCGACGTTTTCTTTAAATCCTCCACTTCACCGTTCAGCCTGTCATTCGCCAACTCGAGGGCATCTACATTCTTCCGCAGCTTTTCCAACTCTGCTCTCGATCTATCGTTTTCCGATTGGCTAGCAGATAATTCCGATCTAATTTTTTCTGATAATGCCTGCTCGGCTATCAGACTAGACTTCAGACTTTTAATTTCAGCCCTCTGCCCATCGCCCTCGCCTTTCAGTTTGCCAAATTCTTCCTCGAATTTCTGCCGTGCTTCCCTCAGACCCGCGTTTTCCAGCTTCAACCCATCAACTTCAGATACCAGTTTATCCGATTCATTTTTCAATTTGCCGTTTTCGGCTGTCAGCGTAATTGTTTTGGACTTTAACGTGTCATTGTCTGCTCTCAAAGTTAATACCTCATTTTTCGTGTTTTCAATTTCCGCCCTTAACGCTGACGCCTGACGCGACAAGTTTTCTTCTTTATCTCTCATTTTATCGTTCTCTATTCTTAGTTTAGTCAATACAGATTTTAATGTTTCAAGTTCCTCTTTCAAAGCAACGACTTGATCCTTAACTTTCGTTAGTTCCTCCACTGCCTCTTCTTTAGCAGATTTTTCGGCGAATGAAGACAGATTTAGTCTTTCTAACAGATTTTTAAGTTCCGTGATTTCTCCCTCGAGCTTAATCTTCTCATTTCTAAGATTCGTTATCTCCTTCTCTAACGCTTGATGCTCAACCTATGAATTTTAATGTGATTATTATCAAAGGCACAAGAAATTACAGAAGGAATACGTAACTAATTATCTCTACCTTACAGACGTTTAAAGCTCCCTTTGTCTTTTCGTTCTCGATGGATAACCTATCTATGTCCATCTTAAGCTTGCAATTTTCCAACTTCCAATATTCAATATCTTCTTCCGCTTTAGATAATTGCGATTGAAGGTCAGATAAAGCCGGTCTTAAATTATTAATCTCGCTCGTCATCTCAGCATTCGCAGCCCTTAGGCTCGACGATTCCTCGCCCAGATGCAACAGCTCTTTCTTAAGGGCGTCTCCCTCTTCTTTTAGAGTATGATTTTGCACTTTCATCTCATCGATCTTTGAGATGAGATTTTTCATCTCGTTCTTTAACGCCGCTAATTCCTCATGAATGTCTCGTTTAGCAGTAGTTTCTGTACTTAGATCTAGTTTCAGTTTGCTGATCTCATTTTGCAAAGCGTTGATCTCATTCTGCATCTTGTCCTTACCAGTCTGTAAACTAGCGATCTGAGCCTCGAGAAGCTTAACTCGATCCTCGGCGCCGTCGAGTTGTTCTCTTAATTTATTTACTTGGTCCGTCGATAAATTTATTCGTTCTTTCAGTTCGTTTAGTTTCACGTTTAGCCTATCATTTTCGTCTCTGCAGTTACTCATTTCCGCCTTAATATTTGTGTTCTCTACTTCCGTTCGGTGAACGTCCGCTCTTAGCAGTTCATTTGTAACTCTCGCCTCTTTCAGTTCATTATTTAACCTAGCCACTTCTTGCCGCAAATCTGCAACCTCATTATTCGCCCTCGTCAATTTATTAGTTGTACTATCTGCTTCCTTTTTCAAAGTTTCTATTTCGGACAATAACTTTGTTAGTTCTTCCTTCCCATCATCCGCTTCTTGTAACAATTTTCTGTTCTCGGACTTCAACTTTGCCATTTCGCTCTGCAAAGTATTGAAGTCCGCGAGTAGCTTGTTATTATTTACATTAGCCTTCTCCAATTCTTCCGTAAGAACTCCATTCTCGACTTTAAATTTGTTCAATTGTTTCTTTGCGTCGTCTAACGCTACATTTGTCTTAGACAAGTCGTCTTTAAGAAGACCATTCTCGGATTTCAAGTTGTCTCTTTCAGTTGTCAGATTGTCTTTTTCGGTTTTAACAACAGTACTTTCGTCCTTCAGTTTATCGTTTTCAACCTTTAATCTATCCATTTCTTGTAGCAGTCTGTCGAGACCGTCCTTCAATGCAACCCCCTCGGATCTTAATTGATCCGTCTCCGCCACTCGCCTTTCTAATTCATTTCTTAAATGCCCATTCTCGGATAATAATTGATCTATCTCCGCCTTAATATTATTATTTTCCCCCCTCGAAGATTCTAGTTCCTTAATCATGTTATCAAGATTGTTTTTCAAAGCAACATTTTCTTCTTTAAGTTCGTTAGTCTCCAATTTAGCATTTTCCAATGTCTCCTTCAAGAATTCATTTTCAGCTCCAAGACTATGCAAATCGCCCCTCGTGCCCCCTAGCTCTTTTTGCGCCACTTGAAATTTTTCTTCCTCGAGACGCAGGTCAACGTTCAACTTATCGATCACGCTCTTCAGCTCGTTATTTTCCTCTTTCGCTCTCGCCGACTCATCTTGTATTTTTCGAATTTCCCTATCTAACAATGCATTCTTAATACGTAATTCGCCGCATTCGGATTTTATTGTCTCAATGTGCTCCTTCAGAGACTCGCTTTCATTGTTCAGTTCATTTATTTGACGGTCTCTCTCGGACACCGCACCCCGTATCTTCCCCAGCTCATCGAGCAGTTCCTTTTTCTCCGTCTCAAGATTATACAGTTGGGACCTCATATCTTCGATCTCGCTCTGCAACTTACTCACGCCCGGCACAGCCAGCTCCGACTGCCGCAGGCTTCCGAGCAGCTCCGTAATCTGCGAACAAACACCCAATTGTCATGAATACTGCTACGGAGTTGGACAAGTATAAACATCCTCTGGCATTTGTCTCATCTCGACGAAACAGGAGTATATACGTGTCGGCATAAAACATTCATGACTTTTAACGTATCGCACGCGCAACCGGCTATTTACGAGCCGGGTATTTACAAGAGAAATAAAGAGAGATACCTTGTCGTCAGGCTTCTCGGGTTCTTCCTTTATCTCAGCCACTCCATCGATGGCGGTCGTAGGGCCGACGGTCATCTCGTCCAGATGTAATGGAGGCGCAACGACGGAGGCTCTCTGTTGCTCAAGCTCGCTTCGTAGAGCCTCCGCGTAAGCCGTCTTCTCGTCCAAATGCGTTTTCAATTCAGCCAGGAGTGTCTCGCAATTACGAAGCTGACTTAGCAGTGCCGACATGTCCGGTTCTTCCTCATCTGTAGGTAAAGGAAGGACGCCCTCCTCCGAGACCGGTGTAGCAGCAGCCTCCTGCGTTGCACGTTGAATTTCCGTCAGTTTGGCTTGGAAGCGCTCGTTCTCTGCTCGTAGCAGATCTTCGTAGCTCTTTGATAGATCCACCGACGTCTGCATTGATCTCTCGACGACCACGGGCACCTGTTGATCGGCCTTCTGACCATCTTTCATTAACTCACGAAGCTTTGCCCTCAAACGAGTTAATGCCGCACAGGAAGTATCCTCCTCGGCTTCCACCAGTTTCAGCTTCAGATGCGATATCGTGTCTCGCATTCTGTCACGATATCAACAGTTTGCACGTAATTATATTGGCGTACCGCATTTAATGAAGATAGATGGTTTTCGAGGAAATATCGTGACCGACGAACTGTGATTAATCTCCTTTTAAAGCTATATAACTTGGCGAAGTCTAAAACAGAAGTCTGTTCTTACAATTACGATAATTCCTCGACGATTAATTTAATATTAATTTCATCGCGGCCCTTTTTTTCACCATTCTTTTATTCGCTCAGTTATTTTTCCGCCCATTAAGGCACGTTGCAGAGAAGAGAGAAAGGGAGGGGGGGAGGGGGACTCATTAAATTGTCTTAGCGGAATTTCATAGTCAATAGGCATTACGTACTGTTTTTTTTCGGCAGCGAAACGATCTCTCTGCGCCGCTATTTTCTCCCTCACGTATTTAACTTTTTCGCACGGATCGTCGCAGCAATCTCGTTCGGCGAGGCTCTCCCCGAGGTTGCGAACTTTTTCCGCCAGTTCCTCATTTGCATTCTGCAGCCTTTCGTTTTCCTCGCGGTAATGCACGAGCAAGGGATCAGTGGCCAATACCCCGTCGGGCGCTACACCTATATGGAAATTATTTGACCGCCCGAAATATATTCGGTGCTCCCGTTTATAAGACACTAAGAAAACGCGCGGACCTCTTACGGTAAACTGGGCGCGCTTGGAAGTAAAGAACGCGAAATTGGTAAAATAATAATTTATACGCGCCGAAGAGTCGTTTACTCTGATAATCGAAATATTTGATATTTCGCGAAATATCCGGAATCAATACGGAACAGATTTTATTACAGAGCCGTTCTATAAGGCGCAGCACGGCGCACCGGGAAAAGCAACGTGCTAAAATTACTCTTCGTATACATGCTCGAACCTATTTCTTATAAAATTTATTCTGTGAGAGATATAGCGCGAGGAGAGAGAGAGAGAGAGAGAGAGAGAGAGAGAGAGAGAGAGAGAGAGAGAGAGAGAAAGAGAGAGAGAAAGAGCCAAGGTTCGGCTATGAAGTGGGACACCGATACCGAATGGTCGTAGAGCTTGTTTCAGAGACCTATTTTCGCTCTCGAGCTGCAGCCGCTCCATGCGCCACTTCTTCATCTGGCACTTCATTACCGTCAGCTTTCGCAGGGCGAAGGGCAAATCGTAGATCTCCGATTCCTTCGAGTTGTCGCTGAAGGGATTGTAGTCGCAGCAACAGCACGGCTCGTGCGGCGGCGATTCGATCGGCTTGAGCGGCCGCGGTGCATGGCATCCGCATGAGCAAAACGGCCGCGGTGCATATCGATCGTCCATGACCTGGTGCAATTTTGAGGACCGCGTTTAACCTTTCCGCATGGCGTACTACGTTCCACGGCACGGAATTTATATCCTGAAAACGCTTCCCTTGCAATCGTTACGACGCACCTTCGGGGCAGCGCGTCGCGTAAGAGACACTTGATAAAAGTTACTTGGTATCCGCGGCGCAGCTAGTTTCTATATTTTTACACTCGTAACATCCCCGGGATGGTAAAATAAGTTATTTATGCCTTGGGTCAATTCATAGATAACCCGCGGTGGCGGAGTTGCGCTATCATTGCTCCGCAAAGAGTTTCGCCGAGATAAAATCTTTCTATGCACGAAGACTGTGTGTGTGCGCGCGCGCGCGCGCATGTATGAACCTCGTGAGACGTCAATCGGTATTTTCGGTGCTGCTCTCAATGAGCTCGACTCTCTCTCACAGCGAGATCGATATAACTCGATATAACACCGAATTAAATTTCGGATAATTCGGCCCCGTCCCGAAATCACACAAAATAGACGGGGCCTTTAGCGGTTAATAGCAGGATAATATTAGACGAACGGTCTCACGGTGTCGCCGCGAATCCGCGCCGAGAATTTCGGTCACACCGGGGAGATGTGCGGGATTGTTGTCGATAGCTTACGGCAGCTTTGGGATGGAGAGACGCCCGATCGTGGATACGCGGCATTATTCAGCGAGTTTCCCCCCGTCGCGAAGTTGGCGCGCTCGCCGGGAAACCGGAAGTACCGATTACGTACGACCCACATAATTAAGCGGTCGCTATAATTAAATTGCGCGCAGTATGCTCGGCGAAAGTCCTCGTTAGAGCAGTCTTATTAGGTGTTCCGATATTGAGGGGCCGGCGCAGCGATACCGAACGCTTCTTAAGTTTCGAGAGTTTCGAGAGCACTTGGACCACAGTTCGGTTCTGTTCGAGAACTTATCGAGAGGGGCCCGTCATCAATTAAATCTGCGCGGTAATTGCAAAGGAAGGAGGAAAACACGGGTGCGGCGCGGGGTTAGCGGGAACTTCACCAAACTTTCCGCCCGCTTTTTGCCCGCCGTCCGCCGCATTACTCGTGCAAAATCACCGTTTCGTTAATCGAATTGGCGTAACAACGGACGGGCTCTTAGCTCTTACAAGATGTACTGCACGATAAATAATGCAGATGTATCTCGCGTGCACGTATGTGGCGCGCGCGCGCGCGCACACGCTGACGGATGCTGAAACGTGAAGATATCTGTGCACTCGTCACGTGCATGAAAATCGATTTCTCACCTCCCCGAAGCGCTCCGCTCGTTAATGACAATTTGGCGTAGAAAAATTCTCAAGTATAGGCTGACGAAATGTGTTAATAGATAATTGTAAATTTCCGCAAATTATTGATACTGTTGCCGTGGATTTTAATGAAGAATAGTCATCGGCATTTGTACATTTCTGTAATTAATAAAATAATACAAATTAATTCATGCTCATATTAGATTTATCGTGACGGTGCAACGCTAACCGCGAAACGGCGGAGCATTTTCAAAAATTTATAACAATTTTAATGAAAATCTGCATAAAGGTATCCTAGATAATTTGATATAAATAAATGCATGTATATATACATGAGATTTTTAATATAAATTTTTAATGGCTGACATTATGATATTTAGCGAAATTCATTATCTTGCGCATAATGCCGTTGGGTCATGCATTATATAACTCTGGTAAAATTGACGAGGCAGCAATGAGTGACAAATATCTCGACGATTACCTGTCAGTGATCGCGATTGACGTCGCCGTCGAGGAGAAGACGAGAATCGCCAGAATGGCTGTTGCGACCTTGCACAAGCTGCATAACGTGATGCGGCAGATGAGAGACTGGCGGGACGATAGCGCGAAACTGAAGAGTAATATCTGGCGGATGAAAATGGCTCTGCGTGTGGATGACAAGAATGGGGACGATAACCAGCAGATCGACCCTTTGATCGTGCATCAGCGGGCGGAGATTAGCCGGTTGGAGCAGGCGAACGGCGCTTTGGAGAACGAAGTAACGAGTCTGAAGCGTGCGCTGACGAAAGCCGAGGAGGATCTCGCCGTTTGCGAAATAAACGATAAGATCGCCACGCTCGAGAATGAGTTCTCGGGCGAGAGGGAGCGTATGAGCGATGAGATTCTGCGCCTGAAGAAGCGGCTGAAGGAGGCCGAGGAGAGCGAGACGAGTGTCGTGCTGCAGCTCAGGGACAAGCTGAACGAGTTTACGAGGGGCGATCGAACGATAGAAATAATCTTCGCGAGCGCGATCGGCAAGACCGTCGAGATGATTATCGGTCTGTCGGAGGAGCTCGTGAACGCTAGCGAGAATTTATACAGGTCTAGGACCAAAAACAGGAGCCTGCGTCTCAAACTCGACCGATTAAGGGCCATGCTGCGACTGCGGTGCGGCAACGGCGCGGAATATCGGAAGAGGAACGGCGAATTGAACAATCTTGCCGAACAATTGATGGGAGAGATGGATCGACTGAGAATTATTCGCGAGAATGCGAACTATAGCGAAAGTTTCGACGCTGCGAATATCCCGAACGTCGTTAAGCACATCGAGCGTCTGATGAGCGACTTGAGGAACAATTTAAAGAGCGATCGCGAGGCGATGATCGCCGCTGGCGATCCCGACTGTCTCAAGTACCTGAAGAAGGTGGTTAGTCTAAAAGTAAACCTGAAAGTGCTGTCCGTAGAGCTTAGACGGTCGAGCGTGCCGACGGACAAACGATTGCGCGAGAATGTCCAGTACGGGACACGCTTGGAGACGGCTTCGTCGTTGAACGATTTCTTGCAGAAAATCGACGGGGAGATTGAAAAGTTGAAGATAAAGCCGATGAATAAGTATTGCAAGATCGGTGGCATCAGCGGCTCGCGTTACATGACCAAAGTCACGGAGCTCGAAGATATCGTTAGGAAGTCACTCGCGGTAATCGCTACCTGGAAACAGGCACCGCCGGAAGTTGAAATTAATTCCGACGGGAAAATAACGAAAGCGCTGGAGGACTTGATCGAGCGTTTGTGCAGCAAAATGAAGGAACTCGAGATTTTCGACGATCGCGCGAATTTACGCGAGAGGATCGAACAGCTCGAAGCCTTGGTCGTGTATTTAAAATCGGAATTGCTGGAAAGGAACGAGCGTATAAGTGCGATGGACGAGGAGCGTGCGAGCATCAGATTAACATGGGAGAGAGATCGCGAGAAATACGAGAAGATTATCGCTGACGTGCGCGAGGTGAACGAGACTCTTCGGGAAGATATAAAAAGGGGGCAACAGGAATTATCGGAGCTGTCGCTTAAACGCGATCATTCCGAGCGGCGTGTCGCGGAAATGCAGCTGATGAAGGCTGAAATTGACGCAGCGAGGAAAGAATCGCGGGGCCATCGCGACGACAAAGAGGCGTTATTACGGGAAGCGGAAAGGTTGCGTAATGTCCTCGGAGAGAGGGACAGGGAAATTGAGAATATTACTACCCAGGGGGACGCGTCGAGAGTGGTCCTTAGGGCCGAGCTGGAGGACCTCAGGACGAAACTTGGGGTCGCTTCCGATGAAAATGTAAAACTGAGAAGTATAATTGGGGGACTTGGGAAGCGGGAGGAACGCGAGCGACTGGACAAATTGAAAAGTTGGGATCGGCAGGGCGGCGGGGAGGAGCGAGACAATGGCGTGGACCGTGCGCGAAACCTCAGGGATGAGTCGGAGTACTTGAAAGCCGAGTCAAATGAGCCTAAAATAAGTCTGAACAAGGCGGACGGGCGAATCGGCTATTTCAAGTCCGCGCCGGATAAAGCCGTCGGTGACATGGCCAGTCCGGGAGGTGAAGCTTCTGACTTGGAGTCTAACGAGCAGTCGTTGACGTATCGATCGAACGTCCGGACGAGCGCCGGCCTCGGCGAGGAAACGCCGGGAGAATTCGACGCGGTGATGGCGAGGTACGAAGCGTCGGAGAATAAAGTCAAACAGCTTCGGAACGAGAAAGAACAACTCGAGGGGGAGTTATCGGAGCTGAGGTCCGAGAAAGGATCGCTGGCTAGGTCGATGGCCGACGCCAATAACAAGTGCGCCGCGCTGCAGGATCAAGTTAACAAATTTCAGTCCGAGGGTAACGGCCTCCGGGAGACGATAGGCGAGCGCGAGGCTGCTGCGGAGCATTTCAAGTTGGAGCTGGAGAGAGCGCGGACGGAACTGGAAGACGCGGCCGTTAACGCGGCGCGTCTGCGAGCGGAGAACTCGAGGGTCGCCGGCGATTTGGATACGCTGTCTCTACGGACTAGCGAGGCCGAGGACCGTGTACGAGTGCTGTTGACAGAAAAGAACGAGTTCAATGAGCAACTGAATAAGGCGAGAGAGGAGAATGAATATTTTTCCATGGAATTGAATAAATCAAGGGTCGAAAATGACAAAGCGAAAGCGGAAAATACTCTTCTGCGGGCCACTTGCGACACGCGGGAGAGGGATAACGTCGCGCTCAGGCGGGAGAGGGACGACGCGCGAGGGAGAATAAATGAAATCGGTAATCAACTCAAGACCCAGCGAATCAAGTACGAGGCGCTGCGGCTTGCCGCGTTGCACGACGAGGCTAACGATCGTAAGAATTACTTAAAGAAGATCGATACGCAGCGTCCGCTCGCGAGGGATCGCGAGCGGGGATTCGCCGGCGCTCATAACGAGATCAAACGGAAGCGGAATTGCTCGGATACCGCGCGTGCAGGCATAAAGGTCGAAATTGGCGGAACAGAAGTCAAAGTAGAATCTGATACACGCGTCGGTCATGATAACAGAGCGGAGATCAAAGACGAGCCAAAGGGCGCGCTGAAGAGACAGTGGGGCGGGCATAAGGCTTTGAAATTAGAGCGGGCGAATTTCAGGTTCGAATACTCCGAGGTCAAGATGGAACTGGCGAACGGCAGACCCGAGTGTCCAGCGGCGCGGAGGACGGAGGAAGTGCCGGACGAGGGAGAAAGCGTCGGTGCTATCTTGAAGAAATTTGAGCTCGCGAGCACCCGGCACGAGAAAGGAATAGGCGATGATTCTAATTATCTCGGCGACCCGGAGATGTCCGAGGGTGACGAAAGAACCGCGGCGCTCGATATCGATCGGCTCGGGACCGGGAATAGAGCGTCGAAGATGAAAGCGGATATCCCGCGTAGTAGTCGTAACTCCTGCCTGACGGACGTGTACGGTGAGAAAACGAAGGCCGACCTCGGTAGAGCGACGGAGGAGATTCGGGCTTTGAAACTCGAACTGATGAATCTGAGGGACGAGAAAGCGACGTTGAGGTCGCAGCTCGAGACATTTAAGGAAGAATTAGACGCATTGAAGTCAGAGAGGGCGGCTTTAAAGGACGAGCTCGCCGCTTCCAGGAAGTCGAACTTCGATCTCAGGCTCAGAGTGAACGACCTGCGGTGCGCTAACGAAAAATTGAGGGAGACCAATGCGGAGTTGGGCGGTCGCGCGCAGGACGCGTCGAGAGGAAGGAATGAGTACAGCGCAATGCCGGAAGCGTCGGATAAAGGGTTAAAAAGTCATTGTGAAGGCGCGTTAAGCGACTATCTGAAGAAGTATATCTTCACGGAGAAAAATCTGCGGATAACTAACAGGCGAAATCGGTTCGATCGCGTCCCTCCCAAGAATCCTGAGCCACAATCCGTCGAAGGGAATCTGCAACACATGGAGGGACAAAAATCCCGAGGTTGAATGTATATACTAAATATATAATGTAATTGTGTACATTTAATTTATTAAATTTTATTATCTCTACTCGCTTTATCATATCTGCTAATTTATATGAAATTATTTTCATTTAATTAGCGTAGGAAATAATTTAAGTGCGTAGCAAAAATTGGCTTGTAAGATCGGAGGATGAATTTAAATATAATTGTGCTATGCTCTGTTAATTCATTGTACTTAAAAAATATATTTTATACTTCATTTAATTTCTTTTCTTGTCAAAGGTTCCGTGTAACCCGGCAGTTCTTCTAAAATTTATGAAGGTAGCGCATTCTCCTCAGCGCCGGGAATCGTTTTAAGAGCAACTGACAAAACCTCCTAAAAGCGCGCTGCTACTTCATCTTCAGCTTTTAGGGCGACGAGTAGTTAAAGCCAAACAGGACAATGACAACAGCGGCATGACGGCGATAAGGATAAAGCGGTGTCGGTGGAGCGCGTAATAATGCATTAATCGCGCGCGCATGTCGGGCCATTATCGCATACTCTACGACCACGGTATCACCGTCGAAAATCCTTGTCTGAGATTATTTCAGCAAAAAGGTAAAGCTCGCTTTGCGCGGCATACTTGGTGCTCATCTATCATTCCCCTAGACTGCCAGAGTGTGACGTGGCACATTGCAAATGAGTGGATAGTCCTCCGGCATCTCTACAATTATATTCTTCTCACATATCTCGGTTTTTGACCTTTGACTTCATCAAACAGCTACGATTACGTTTCGACGAGATCGTCGCGAAATAGGAATTGCAATTCTTTCTTACATTACTGACAGTTCAAGCAGGTTGCAAAATAAAACAATGGTAGGTATCTAACGACAGGATAGCGTCGAATATTATCTCTTTTAGATTGCGATCGATAATTCTGTTTTATTTTTAAAAAAAAATTTTTCGTTTCGTCAAAAATTCGTTTTATCAAAAAAAAAAGCACGCAATAACCGCGCGTACGTAATAGCTTTATGCTCAATTATGCTTCGCGCGTAATTTTTTACTGCAACACGCACGCGGCATGAAAGCGCGTACCGGAACTCGATATGAAAACGCGTTTTGTAATATCTTTCGTGATAAATCAACTGATCGCATGTAACAACGGACGTCACACACGCGAAAAACATTGGATTGTCGTAACGACAGATGTTACAACCGGCGCCCCTTTGTTTTGCGACTCCGCACGTGAGTTACACATTGATGTGGACTTTTGTGTCTGTGATTTTCCACATTTTCGCAGATTAAATATTCGGGCATACATTATGTCGTGCGCGTATAATATCGCACATCATATGAGCAGCAATCTCAAATGAAGAGATCTTTCGCGCTATTAATGAGATTAATTTATCCTTGCCAAATATTGTACATTGTAGCGGATATAATATACGACTTTAATTCCAACATTTATCTCGTTTAGCATTTAATTTATTACATATTAAAATATCGTGTAAATGTGTAATGCGTAAGTGATGTAAGAAGATTCGTTCCTTAGCGCTAAAAAGAGATTTATATTAATGTACCGCGGTCAATGTTAATTATTGATCGCGAATGTTACTTTTGCAATACCGCGAATATATGAATATTGCTCACGTTTGAAGAGAAACTTTGCAATTTATATCATCTTCTCGCGTCTAATGTGCACGAGTAGTTTTTAGATAATTATTTGGTAACGTTCGGGTATTGCAATTATCTATTTTTATAGAAATTTTTCCATAATTTAGTATAAAATCAAATTGTTGTAGATAAATTAGGTCATGCTAGAAAAAAAAAGTATTTTTAATTGAAAGTAATAATTTTCTATTATCTCTCAATTCATGACAATTCAAATGAAAAGTATCTTGTATGTGAAACACTGCAGAGAAAAATTATATAGTAATACTTGTATTTTTCATAAACTTATTATACCTACAAAATGGCTGTTCGCATCAAGTAATTGGTAATATAAATTAAAAATCGTGAAAATATTTTTTTCAATTTTAATACGAAATGGCAGATTTATTCTCTGACGTACTGCACAATTCATAATTAAAATTTCGTGAGATTGATATCTGGTACAATTCTAATTCAATTTTAAAATAAATGACAAATATTCGTCGAACTGACTATAATTTAAATTAGAAAAACTTACTGCGTAAAATATTACCTCGATCAGAATATTTGTTCTTTTCTAAGCAAAATTATAAGCTAGTTTGTCGAATAATACTAGAGGAAAGTCCTTTATTATGAGATAGGATTCTAATGTGAGGTAGTCGGTTTTTAACGTCCAAGTTCAAGTCACAAATTTTTTTTCGCAACGATTACACGATCTAATCAATCAATTTTCCACTGAACAGCCGAGATTTCACTCCAGGGTCAATGAATTCGAGCAGAAACTCCGCTATCTCATATTAGGAGCCTATCTCGGGGACTTTTATCTATTTGTCTGTGGTAGAATTCACACCTTGGCGGAAAAGTGGGAAGTAGTAAAGCGGAAGCCAATCGGCAAAACTCGCGCTAGATGAAAAACAATAATTATAGACCGGTTCGTCCACACAATTGCGAGCGAGATTCTTTAAAGTTTATAAAAAACCTTAACAGTATAAATTTCGCTTCAGTGTTCCTGAATCGGTGTTGACTTCGTTGCGCTTATATATATATATTTCGTGTTTTCACGCGGAAGCAAACAATGAGTGCAGACCGTTGCAAATAAAACGCAATGCGTCGAGCTGCACAGTCAGATGCGTTTCGCGAACGCAGTCCACGTACTGGTCCATGACTAAACAGACTTTAATTGCGGGAAATCACTGTAATCACGAAACGCTGGCGCAAGCTCGTTTTTCTCCCCCCCCTCCCCCCTCCCCCCTCCCCCCTCCCCTCCTCCGTCCGCCCTTCCCATCCTTTTCCTACTGTCGTCCCCATCGTGACGGCGGCGAATATATCTAAATAAAGACTGAGAGTAATCGCTGTTTTACAAAAACGATCTTACGCCAATTATTGATATAGTGATGATGATGAATTAATCGTCGCGATTCATTATTACGGAAGTGTTTAGGCATTTAAGATGTTCATTTAATTATCCGTTATTTAATAACTTTTCAATAGTCTATATTACATTTGATCTCTTTTGGCAAATTCAATTATTATATAAACGACCCATACAAGCACCAAAGCTTTCAGAAACATTTCAGAGAACATTATTGCACTGTTGCAATAATATTTCTGAAATATTTCTGAAAGCTTCGGTGCTGTGTGAGGAACTATTAATGAACGCTGTTTTGTCAAAGAACAACATTTAAGACGATCAACTTCGAGATGTTACCATGTTCTTCGGGATCATTGATGTTCCAATAGCAGCTCTGGAACAAAGTAATTTTATTTTAATTATTATAATGAAATCTACAAATAATTAATTATCAATAAAATTTTCAAAGAAGAGGTTTAAAAATTACTAGATTGGCTGCGTTTGGAAACATCACCCGAGTGTCCCAATGTATCATTTTATCTTGTGTAACATTCGGCGAGCAACAAGGATAAAATGATACACTGTGTTTCCGAACGCACCCATTCGGAGCTGGTTGAGACTGAAAAGTCACTAGATTCAAAAGTGGATATTTGAAAGTTACTAGGTTCTAACCAATCGTTTCAAAATTATATTAAGTGCATTTAAAATTTAAATTTAAGTTCGACTTAAAATGTAAGGGAAATGACCAATCATGGTCGAGAACGTAAACAGCCATTTTGAAATTTAAGCAACGCTGAAAAGTTCGGTTGGTTAAAATTCATACGTCTTAAATCTTGCTACTTAAGCTTCTCTGTATATGCCACAGCTCTTAAGCCAATGGTACACAATACTACGTCTCCTACCTACGCTTAAATCGTAAAGGCCTTCACACACAAAATTCCGTAAGGACGTAAAACGTAAGCGTAAGAAAATCGACCAATCACAGTCGAGAACGTAAGGCAATAACGCAAGCAGTAGCAAATCCAATCTGTTGATTTTCTTACGCTTACGTTTTACGTCCTTACGGAATTTTATGTGTGAAGGCCTTAAGCTTATTCTACAATGGACGCTAAACGTAAGACTCTAAAGCCTCGTCTACATAGAAGTCGTAGAGTCGTAGTCGTAGGAATAGTCGACTATGATTGGTCAGTTCTTATGTGTCTGACGAAATTGACCAATCGCAGTCGATTATTCTTACGACTGCGACTCTGCGACTCGCATTGTAGACCACGCATAAACCGCAACGCAAGAAATCGGCCAATGACAGTCCACCATTCTTCTCATATTTGACTGTGATTGGTCGATTTCCTGCGTTGCGGCTTAGCGTCTTGCGTTTTGCGTCCATTGTAGAATAAGCTTTAAATGAAACAACGGTATTGGTCGTTGGGGCAAGCTGGAGCATGTGGAGCACGCGACACGAACAGACCCGTTACACCCCACGAAGCAAACTGACCAATTGAATTTAAGGCGAGCGTCACGAAACTTTCCAACGTTGGCAACGTCGCCGGCAAATAGTGACATTTCACCGCGCGGGGTTGGCAGCAAGTCGAATGACGATCGACTCGATGCAAGTGTGCGCTTTAGCTTCATTCGTTCGGCAACAATGGCGGCAGACCTCGAACAGTTTCAACAGCTTCTGAATACACTCCTCAGCACAGACAACGATGTCCGGACGCGGGCGGAGGTACGTGTGAGCGCGCGGTGAATTTTTCGCGGCCGCGCCCGGCCGGCGTCGGCCGCCCCGGGACGGCGCGGAGTGCCCGCGGCGCGGCCGCGGCAGCCTCGCGCGGCCCGAGCACGTTGCCGACGTGTTGTCAGAGCTCGCGAGCTCCGGCCGGCGTCGGGCGCGCGGCACGGCGCGCCGATCCGCGACGTCGCCGTCGCCGGTCGATCCGCGGCGCGTCGACCTAGGCGGATCCGTCGCGCGGCGGCCGGCCGTCGTGCGCCCGTCGCACCTGTCCGCACACGGGATCGGTCAAGCAAGATCCAAAATGGTGTCTCGCATGCGGGCATCGCGCGCCCCGCGTGCCTTCCGTCGACCTCGCGCGCGTGCACGGATGACGGGTGCCGCGCGTCTCGCCCGCCGGCCTGGACTTTCGCACGCGGGGAGCGGCTTCTGTCCGTCCGTCCTCGCAGACGCGCACCCAGCGGCACGCACGCGGTCGCGCGAGATGCATCTCGTTTCCCGCCTACACGCGATTTCCGGCGGGCGTCGTGGCGTGCATACCGCGTGCACAACACGTCTGCTTTCCGCCCTGCCTCGGCGACCCGCCCGATGCGCGCGGGCAGCGTCGTCTCGCGCGCGCGAAATTAATCCCGCTCGGCGCGCTCTATATACGTCTTTTGCCTTGACTCACGGCGCGATCACGTGTCGAGCGTAATTCGTCGAATATTCATACGTGCGCCGATTACAATACGTATTCCGCGCGAAGTGAGTCAGATTGGTAGCTTGGTAAATTTAGTACGGGAGAGAGAGATAGCTTTCATCTTGGCATCTACGAATGTACATGGGCACGTGTTCGTCGCACGTATACATGTATTCTTGCTTTATATATGACGTACAATGTATAGCGATAGGACAAAGGCGCTTGCTCCGATGCGGCATCCTTGTATGCCACGTTACAAACCTGGCCCGTCATTAAAATCCGCCCCCCAATGTGCAATGTGCTCTTCACATCGAGTAACGTTGCGTTTTGTAGCCAATAAATACGAGAAACTTGCGCGAATTGACAAACAGTCGTGGTCAGAAAGGTTGCTCGACGTTCTAGGACGAATTTCGGAAGTACGGTCTACCGTGCGAGAGATTATAGCTTTTGCTCACGGATATGTGCAGTGGCGCATTGTTAAAGCGAACGAACGATATGCACGAATGTACCGAAAACTTATTGTAAAACGTCGGACCACCTTTCCCACGACCGTACATTGTACACTAGGAATCGCTGGCGCTTTCCCACATGAATTCGCGCATACACATCTTTATGCCATTAGAAAATTTAACAAAGACTTTGAAAGCTGACGGTATGTTTTTTTTAATGAAAACTTGAAATTCTTTAGGAGGCGTACGGTAATCTTCCAGTGGAAAGCAAGGTGACGTTTCTCTTAAACACCGTTTGCAATGGTACGCTTGCAGAAGAGATGCGGGCCATTGCCGCAGTACTGTTGCGCCGACTGTTCTCCTCAGAATTCGTGGACTTTTATCCCAAGGTAGCGTAGCGCTCCCGTTTTTCCCTAATTTCGAGTTACTGTTTAAAATATTCTGTTGTCAAAACTGTGCTCCTTCCACTTGAGCGCTGCTGCCGGTTTGTTTCCTAAGTCTTTTGCGAAGAAAGTAATTTTTGAAGATCGTCTACATGAATCAAAGTCGGTTGAAGATAAGTTTAATATGCAATTACCTCACAGATTCCACCGGAGGCGCAAGTCCAGTTGAAGGAACAAATTTTACTGTCGGTCCAAAATGAACAAACCGACAGTATCCGGCGTAAAGTCTGCGACGTTGCGGCTGAGGTTGCTAGGAATTTAATAGACGAGGATGGCAACAATCAGTGGCCGGAGTTCCTTCAGTTCCTATTTCAGTGCGCAAATAGTCCATTGCCGTCATTAAAGGAAAGCGCGCTGCGTATGTTCACGTGAGTTTTTCTTTTATATCTATCTCGTGTGAGTATATTTATTAAGAATATGCAAGCAAAGTGTATTAAACGTACATGCAGATCCGTCCCAGGCGTATTTGGAAATCAACAAGCGAATCATCTCGATCTTATAAAGCAAATGTTACAACAATCTGTCTTAGACATGGCAAATTATGAGGTAATGTGAAATTTGCGTGCTCGTATTTTTATTTAGTCCAACAGGAGAAATAGATACGCGAGTTTCGTAAAGACGAGATTACTCGTCACAATAATTTCTCCAAAAATAAAAAGTGCCTTCTGATGACTGTAACTTGTGAAGTGTTAATTTACAGACAGATACGGGGCATACATTTTATATGGAAAATAGCTACACTTGTGTCGACGTCCTAAATTTAGAACTTGTGTAATTATCCAAAGTTTTCTGTTACGAGAGCAATTGTAATAATCGCAGTTGTTTTTGCCACACAGGTTAGGTTTCAAGCAGTAAGAGCAATTGGAGCGTTTATAACGTTACACGACAAAGAGGAAAATATACACAAGCATTTCTCAGAACTAGTTCCGGCGCTTGTACAAGTAACCGCTCAGTCTATAGAAAAGCAAGACGATGATGCTCTTCTAAAAGTGTTGATAGACCTTGCTGAGACCACGCCAAAATTCCTCAGGGGGCAATTGGACAATGTTATGCAAATGTGCATGAATGTATTCTCCAATGAAGAGATGCTTGACTCTTGGCGGCAATTGGCACTGGAGGTTTTGGTGACTCTGGCGGAGACTGCGCCGGCTATGGTACGGAAAGTTGGCGATACATACATTGTACCCTTAGTGCCATTGGTATTGAAGATGATGACCGACTTGGAAGAAGATGAGAAATGGAGCTTCTCCGATGAAATCATCGAAGAGGACAACGACAGCAACACCGTAGTTGCGGAAAGTGCTTTAGACAGATTGGCCTGTGGCCTGGGAGGGAAGACGATGCTACCACAAATCGTGCTAAATATCCCTACAATGTTGAATAACACTGATTGGAAGTACAGGTGAGCGATAGCTTTATTTATTGCGCAATTAGTGTCACAGAAGAGTCAGCAGTTACATACTTTTATATAATTGCGTTACTTCTGTGATAGAATAACCAATGAGATAATCCTCTTTCCCAGCTGCCGTTCTGGCAGTTGGTCCGAGATTCTCATTGGAGTGTTTGAAATAAGAAATTGGCAGTTGTATGACGTGACTGCTATAATTATGAAAACTTACAGCTTTTTAAATATGTGATAAATCAAATTTATATTTTTTACTCTTATGTAGTGTGTGTGTGTAAACATATATTTTTCATTATTTAGGCATGCAGCGCTCATGGCTATCTCAGCTGTTGGTGAAGGATGCCATAAACAAATGGAAGTTCTTTTACCACAAATAATGGACGGAGTCATACAATATTTACAAGATCCGGTAAGTACAGTGACTTTGCTCCATAATTTGGTCAGCTATTTCGTTTAGAATTTTATCTCTTCTTACATCACATTATACGTACCGTAATTTACTAGGATAGGCCACAATTTAATCCGGCAGTCATATTCCTTTGGATATGATGAGTTACAATTGTGGCAAATTAAGCAAAGAATGCAAATTCTTTCTTCATTACTGTTTTAGTAATAAAAATGTGTTCTTTGTGGTTCCTGAGAGCTGACTACTGTTAGTAGCGATAGTAGTCATAGTTTTGGAACATATATTTCCATTCGTATCTTAACGTGATATTAGTGTGAAATTCATGGATAAATTAAGTATTGTTGGGTTTCCTTTTAGCATCCTCGTGTACGATATGCTGCCTGCAACGCAGTAGGACAAATGTCTACAGATTTCTCGCCCACATTTGAAAAGAAATTCCATGATAAAGTTATCCCTGGACTACTAATGGTGTTGGATGATAACGCAAATCCCAGGGTTCAAGCCCACGCTGGCGCCGCTCTTGTAAACTTTAGCGAAGATTGCCCGAAAAATATTCTCACTCCATACCTCGATGCTATAATGGCCAAGCTCGAGTCGATCCTGACTGCTAAATTTCATGAATTAGTTGCAAAGGGAACTAAGCTCGTACTTGAACAGGTAAGTTTCGAGTTGTCCTCTGCTGTGTGCTTCTTATGTTTAGCCCCTTATTGGGAATCTATCGCTTTACGCAAATTACCAATTAAAAATCCATACGTGAGATGAAGGTCTAACTCGAAATACACCAATTATAAGTTTGCACATAGAGTCACTTGGCATCCTCGAGTTATAATAAATCATAAAATATAAATGAAGAGTTTACAAAGAGAGTTGATGTAAATCTGAATTTTTTGCTGCTGTCTATACAGGTTGTCACGACAATTGCCTCTGTTGCGGATACGTGTGAAGAGCAATTTGTAACTTACTACGACAGGCTAATGCCCTGTTTAAAATATATTATTCAAAATGCGAGTCAGCAGGAACACAAAATATTACGGGGCAAGACGATCGAGTGTGTCAGTCTTATAGGCCTGGCTGTTGGCTCAGAAAAGGTAAATATTAAATCTTGATGGTTTCTGGATGAAAAGTTAGCAATTATTATATATTGTCTATTGTTATACATCGTGTATATTAATATTGTTCAATTTCAACAGTTTATCGTCGATGCTAGCGAAGTTATGGATATGTTACTCAAGACGCATTCAGAAGGTGATCTTCCTGATGACGATCCACAAACCAGCTATCTTATATCTGCTTGGGCCAGGATTTGTAAAATTCTTGGTAAGATATTACAAAGACTTTATACGCTTCTCTAAATATGTCAATGTTCCGTCGTACCGCAGGAACTTTTTATGAATTACGCAATTAAAAGAATTTATATTTTTTTTACAGGAAAACAATTTGAACAGTACTTACCGTTAGTAATGGGACCCGTATTGCGAACGGCCGCTATGAAGCCTGAAGTTGCTTTACTGGACAATGAAGACATGGAAGGCATTGAGAGTGATCTTGACTGGCAGTTTGTTTCACTGGGAGAGCAACAAAACTTTGGAATCAAAACAGCTGGCTTGGAGGACAAGGCTTCTGCATGCGAAATGTTGGTTTGTTACGCGCGGGAATTAAAGGAGGGCTTTGCGGGTTATGCAGAAGAAGTGGTGCGATTAATGGTGCCGATGTTGAAGTTCTACTTCCACGATGGTGTTAGAACCGCAGCTGCTGCAAGTTTGCCGTATCTTCTCGACTGTGCTAAAATAAAAGGTTATTAGATAATTAATATTTCTACTGAGGTACCGCATCACTTTTCTATTATCAACTGTCTTATCATATATATTTATGTTTACAGGCCCGCAGTATCTAGAAGGCATGTGGGCATATATTTGCCCTGATCTGTTGAAAGCTATCGATACAGAACCAGAATCTGAAGTGTTGTTGGAATTATTGTCTTCTTTAGCAAAGTGTATCGAGACGCTGGGCGCAGGTTGCTTAAGTGCGCCGCATATGACTGAACTTCTACGACTTTTAGATAAATTACTTAATGAACATTTTGACAAAGCAGTTGCCAGATTGGAGAAACGAAAAGATGAAGATTATGATGAGGTAGGAGTCTGCACAATAATTTGTGAAGATTAGTCGTCTGTAAAACTTGATAGAAATTTGATAATTGAACAATAAAAAATACATTAATCCGTGTTAACGTTCTATTGAAATTAGGTTGTTGAAGAACAACTTGCTGATGAAGACAATGAGGACGTATACACGCTTAGCAAAATGGCTGATATTTTACATGCCTTGTTTACAACTTACAAGTCTTCATTCTTCCCATACTTTGATCAAATATGCGGGCATTTCGTAAAATTACTGAGCCCCGAAAAATCATGGTCCGATCACCAATGGGCTTTATGCGTCTTTGACGACGTTATAGAATTCGGAGGACCTGAATGTGTAAAATATCAAGAATTCTTTTTGCGACCGATGATTCAATACGTTTCTGACAAATCCGCAGAAGTTAGACAAGCAGCAGCTTATGGCTGCGGAGTTTTAGGCCAATTTGGTGGCGAGGGCTTTGCACAAGCATGTGCAGAAGCTTTACCAAAGCTGATGGAAGTTATTAGCGATCCCGAATCTAGGTCGCTTGAAAATGTAAATCCTACTGAAAATGCCATTTCAGCGGTGACTAAAATTCTCAAATACAACAATACAAGAATCAACGTTGATGAAATTCTTCCACACTGGTAAATTGATGAGAAATTTAAGAAATTGTTATTTAGTATATATTAACTCATAAACTTTACTCTTGCTTCTCTTTCTGTACAGGCTGACTTGGTTGCCAGTCGTCGAAGATGAAGATGAAGCACCTCACGTGTATGGATATCTGTGCGATTTGATCGAAGCAAATCACGCCGTAGTTTTAGGAACGAATAATGCGCATTTGCCTCGACTTATAAGTTTCTTTGCCGAAGCATTGTTCAAAGAAGCTGTGCCTACCGATCATCCCGTTATGTCTAGAATTCTTAGTATCGTTAGAGAAATACAGGTGTGTTGAGCGAAAGGTCTGCTTACGTTGATCGTTTCAGTTTTCGAATAATAAGTGACCAATTATTTATTCCTTTTCAGAACAACGACACGATGTTCCAGGCGATCATAATGCAGTTATCAACAGATCAACAACAGGCGCTGCACGAGGCACTCAGTACGCTAAGTACACTAAGTTGAACATTTTTAACATCGTAACAAATAAAAATGATAAATGCTCGCGCTAATTAATCTCCCGAAGAAATCGCAGATTGTAGGTACATTGTACCTATAAAAACATTTGCTCCTGCCTAGTTATACACACGCAAATATATTTAAGCATTCTACATATTATCCACGTACTTGTTGAGTATGTATTTCTGTATCATTATCAGATTTGATAATTAGTTTTTTTTTATCAGGGATTGTTAATCATTTCAAGTAAAATTAGGGTTTGCCACTGTTTCATTTACAGTGCTTCTGCGAAGGAAGACAAGTCGAAGGAAATTTTATCAATTATGAATAAACTCGCATTGGCAGAATTAAAAACTGTTTATATATGTATATGTATATTTATATATATGTATGTTTCTATATACATACATATATGTATATGCATCCATAAAATATTTTAAATTCAATATTTTATACATATATACTTGTTGTATATATACCTCTTTTTTTTCTACATCACCCGAGTGAATATTATTAAAAAGTTTATGAATAATGACATCGACTTAAATCACTCAAGCGATCGTTATCCCGAACGTTCTGCCATTGAGAGCCAGATGATGCTAAATTATCTTTAAAGAAGAGTGGCTTTGTAAAAAATTGCATAGTACTATCTACATACATATTATAGCTTTGTTATGCGAATATAACGTTAAGGAATTACAATTTAGTTACTGTGATCTTTCTAAATTGCGTCTACATTCTCAAGCTATCCCACGTTCCGTCAAAATAACAGAGCTGATAATGCAAGATAGACTGGAAAAGCCCCTCATTGTAGCCATGAAATGAACGCGCGACATTGTGATTTAGGTATTTTTATTATTAAATTTAGATACAGTAAATGTTATTTAATGATAATATCGATAATGTTGCAATGTTGAGGTCTGTATACGAATGCCTTTTGAATGAAACGTAATGAAGTTTTAAAAATTTTAGATTCGAGTTCTATAAGATACTCTGTGACTAATAGGTTTCTCTTCCTTTGGCGAGGTACATTAAAGATCTATGTTTAAATGCCGCGAATGTTTCTTGTACTCTTACAGCTAATTCATATTGGAATATGCTTCTTTAGCTGTAACTTTACAACATAGCTCATGCCGGAAAGCAAGACGTCATTCAAGAATAAGAAACAATAAAAGATATAACGCAGAAAAAAAAGAACGACTTGATAATACAGAGTGCATTACGTTTCTTTCGACTGATGTAACATGAGAATCGAGATGTTGAAAAGGACTGAAGCGAAATAATCCGTTTAAACGGTTGCCTCCTCCCGTACTTGTTGCTATTTATTTGTAAAAAATATGTACTCCGATACTTGCGACTGTATCGAAATTTCACGGACGGAAAAATTTTACCTCCAGTACACCTTCGCGGCTACTCTTAACGTGAATGCTAACAACCTTTTTTTACTAAGACGTGTAGAGGAGTAAAGGTAAAGAATAAACATTTATTTGTACATACATCAAAGCATATGAGAATATCACGAATAAGTTTATAGAGTTGAAGTATCCTATTGTAAGTATCCTTGATAATATACGGTAGGCACTGCCTCGTTATTTCACCGAAAATCAACAAACATGATCTTGTAAGGTGCACGTAATTGCAGCAAATACATACGGAAGCGTCGACACTGGGCTGTTTATGCGATACACATTTGCGATGAAGAGTAAAAATCAATGTGAAAAAGGGAAAATTATAGTTCTTATATATATACATAGATATATATATACATAGAGATTATTTTAAAATCATTACTAGCTAAAATAAATCTCAGCTTTGTAATCATTTGTTTTGCTTCACCTGCACACTTCGTATATATATCTTAATTTTAATAAATTTAATTTAATAGCCAGTATGTACAGTTTGCAAACCTTATTTAAGTACAATGTATAGTACGTATAGTGTTCAATCAAACTTTTGCAAAAGTTAAATGCACAAGTAATGCGTCGACAGCTCGTCGTCGTTCGACGGCGCTTTATCTTGCACAGCAATCGTCTTTGAGTAAAATTTGCGACGAGGCTGCATGATAATTATCCTATTGGCATTTTCTGTGACGTACAAAAGTCGTAGATAACAGGAAAAAATATATGCGTGTTAATTATTGGAACGCGGTTTTAAGCGCACGGTTAAAGAGCTGGGAATAGTTAAAGATAGTCGTATCAATTTCCTGTATATCGCTTTTATCGATCGTTGTCGCGAGAGATAAAACGTTTTTCTAGATTATACTTCGCGAGTGCCGCGTACGTACGATTATTTTAAAGCACTCGCCGTACACTTGCAACGAGTGCCACGATATATCGAGGCCCGGCAAATGCGCTTTTGCCGTTTCATTGTACATAAATAATTCGTATTTCAATATTGGGGAGTGACACAGGGTCACCGCGAGCGGACATTCGTGCCCGATACCGAGCACTTCGTGGCTGATTAAATCTATATTTAGCAAATGAAAAACAGCCGGGAAAAGGATAGCCATCGTCATCAAAATCCCGTGGAAATTCAATTTCGCACGTACCACTTATTTCACTACATATCTTTATTTCTGTTTTGCTTTTCAATTTGAAGACTCGGAAAGTGCAGTTTACGGAAGATCGATACGCGCGAAACAAAATTTACGGCGCGCCACGCGTTCGCAATTTCGCGACGCACGTCTCGAAGTAACGGAGGAAACCTGATTCGAGAACGCAATTCGCGCAACGGTACTTCGTATTTCGCGCTTACGTGCCGCGAACTCTGTTAAGCTTATTCTACAATGGACGTGAAACGGAAGGCGCCAAGTGGCAACGCGCGAAATCGACCACTCGCAGTCAAATATGAGAAGAATGATCGACTGTCATTGGCCGATCTCTCGCGTTGCGACTTGGCGTCTTGCGTTTTGCGCCCATTGTAGAATAAGCTTTATGCGTCGTCTACAATGCGCGGAGTAAGCCTGGCTGTGCCAGGTAAGGAAGCTATTCTTCTAAAATAAACAACAGCCAAAGAAAGCCAGCGAAAATATGCTCCATGAAGAAGGAGGCGAATAGGTTTTCAACGCTGATTTGAATTGCGGTGGAGTATAGGGGTAATACGCTAGCTTTTCTTCGCTCTATGAAATGGCACCTTTAACACTGGCCGATGGCGTTGAGATTCGCCGAGAGTGAGCGTAAGAGCTGAAATAGGAGGAAGGAATAAAATTTATTTATTTCTTTACTCCTATTCCTCCACCCCACGGGCTTACTCGACGCATTAGACACTTGTCGCGCTCGGATATCCCCGGCGAGAAATGATCCTCGTCGATCGACGCCGTCAAATTCATATCGAATCGACGACAATTTGACAGTGGCCCGTTTCCCGAATCCTCTTGTGTCAACAAAAGCGGCTAATAAGCCTTCCGATTGGCGGCAAGCCGCTTTTGACGATAAAAGAGTATTCAGAATACCAATACTCGATCATTTCTCACCGGGTCGTTTTTCATAAATCCCTCCCTCGATAAGCCGATACGGTGATTTATATATAAAATACGATCTCGTGTCAAATTCTGAAATTTCATTTCAATAACGCAATCATCCATCGTATTTATATTTGGTAAACCGAGACTTGGGGTGTACCGAGAGGCGAAGAGCCAACGCGGAAAAATCCTAAGAATGCATTACGTCCGCATTTCTCTCTCTCTCTCTCTCTCTCTGTCTCTCTGTCTGTCTGTTCGCCGCTTTTTCGCCAGCCGTTCCACGTATGTACGTAGCCGCGTGTACGCGCGCGCGCGCACGTACACGCCGGCACGCGGACGGTACGGCCGGCGCACACATGACGCCGGCGATCATCCGATATTACGTCATCGTCGTCCTCTCGCCTGAGTCGCGGACCGCCCGGCGCTCCGTCGCGCTCCCAGCTCATATACGCGCGATAAAGCGGACGCGCGACGCAGTGCGCGGCGAGTGCCGATAAATAAGGCGCGATCGAGGGAGAGGCCGCGCGTATCCGCTCCACTCGAGATTATCGGACGCGCGCGTACACACCCGCGCGCGACAAGCCTCCGATCGCGAGATCGCGGAAACCCCTACCCGTGCAACCGGAGCGGAGGCTCGATAGGAGAGAGAGAGAGAGAGCCGCTTCCCGTCGCGACACCCGGCAAATTTCGAAGGCCGCCGGGAGCGGACGCGCGCGGCCGTCACGGACCTACGGTAAGGCATACTTCCGGGATGTCGGCCGACGCGAGGGCGTTCTCCGTCGCGTTTCCGCCGGGTGCGTTCGCGGATGTGCTCCCGTCTCGTGATCGACGTCGAGGCGACGAGAAGCCGAGAGCGCTCTCGGAGCAACGTCGTCGTCACGTGGCGGCTGACGGTTTCTGTTCTCCGTAGCCGCGTATTTACGTTTATCGCGCGCGCCTGAAAGCGCGGTCTACAGTGTCAGTACAAGTAGTGGATTTAAGGCTGCAAGACGACGTCGGAGTGAGCTCGTGTTTCCGGCGTAGTAGGCGTAGAGTAAGTTGGTTCAATTCCATTTCGTACGGTCCACTCTCTTACTTTCAGCCAATGAGAGCTGGGCAGTCGAGCTGGTTGAAGCAATAACCTCCTAGCCTGGCCACGCGGTCAGTGTAGGTAAATACGTGGCAATGTCGGACGCAGAATTCTTTTATAATGAACGAAGACGAAGGTGAAATTATTAGTAATAGGGAATTAATTGCTGCGGTCCGAGCTAATCGGGTTTTTGTACGACAAAATACGATCGAACCCGCCACCTCCGGCCGATAGATCTCTTCTATACCATTGAAGAGTCAAGAGCTGACTCTATAATAATATAAATGGCGCGAATCTAACTTTTCGCACGTCCATCATTTACCAACAACGGTACTAACATTTGATGACATTGGTCGACACTGATTGGCTCATTATAATCCTTACTCTACGCCATTGTAGACACTCGGGTGTAAAGGGACCTTCTTAATCCTACAGCCTATAGGTTTGTTTTCTGTTCCTGCACTGGTGAACTAGTGCAGTAAGTTAGAATGAGAAAAAATATGCTGGTCTTACACTAATTTACTGCACTAGTTCGCCGGTTTAGCAACAGAAAACGAGCCTCGGGTCTAAAGCCTTGTGTCCACGATCCAAGAACTTGG